ACACTTAATCAAATAGTCTATACAAGACGAAAAGTTGAAGTCTTCATTAATATCTAATATCATTATTTCTGATAAAAGGCTGTAAATGGCATCAATGCAATGCTGTATTTCTAAAAAGTCACAGAACTGAAGACTCTCTAACATAATTAACTCACTCTTGCGACAACTTACTGACACTGCAGCAGGGATGTAGCCACACCGGGCGGCGCCGGGCGCTTGTTCCTGGCACTATTTTTGGCCGCCCAAAACAAAGAAAAAATCGAAGAAAGCCGCTCAGTTGTATTTAAATCCCTTCATCCTTCTCTGAACACAAACTCAGCGCTCGAAATTTACCACGGCAAACGGCAAAGCCATGGTAAAAGCCGACACAAACCATGTCTGCCACGGCATAATTTATTTTTGTGTGCCGTATGGGCCCAATCATCCCAAATTAGTTTAAAGAAAGAAGTATTGGTATTTTGTTTATTTATATTTAGAAGTTGTGTAGGTCCATTCATTTTTATACGCCCACATTGAAATGTGGTCGTATATTGTCGTCGCATCTGTCCGTTAGTCCGTCCGGTGGTCCGTCGGTCCGGCGTCCACAATTGCTTGTGGACTCTCTAGAGGCTCTAGAGGCTAAAGTTAATATCTGATTGACTTTAAATTTATACACAGTGTTTAAGGTCTTGAGACGAAGAAGCCTATTGATTTTCAGCGATTTCCGATAATTACTGCCAGAGTTATGGCCCTTGATCACTTTGAAAAATCTTGTGGACGCTCTAGAGGCCAAAGTTAATATCCAATTGACCTTAAAATTATACACAGTGTTTGAGGTCATGAGACGAAGAAGCCTATTGATTTTCAACGATTTCCGATAATTACTGCCAGAGTTATGGCCCTTGATCACTTTGAAAAATCTTGTGGACGCTCTAGAGGCCAAAGTTAATATCCAATTGACCTTAAAATTATACACAGTGTTTGAGGTCATGAGACGAAGAAGCCTATTGATTTTCAACGATTTCCAATAATTACTGCCAGAGTTATGGCCCTTGATCACTTCAAAAAATCTTGTGGAAGCTCTAAAGGCCAAAGTTAATATCCGATTGACTTTAAATTTATACACAGTGTTTAAGGTCATGAGACGAAGAAGCCTATTGATTTTCAGCGATTTCCGATAATTACTGCCAGAGTTATGGCCTTTGATCACTTCAAAAAATTTTGTGGATGCTCTAAGTCCAAAGTTAATATCCGATTGACTTTAAATTTATACACAGTGTTTAAGGTCATGAGACGAAGAAGCCTATTGATTTTCAGCGATTTCCAATATTTGCTGCCAGAGTTATGGCCCTTGATCACTTTGAAAAATCTTGTGGATGCTCTAGAGGCCAAAGTTAATACCCGATTGACTTTCAATTTATACACAGTGTTTAAGGTCATGAGACGAAGAAGCCTATTGATTTTCAGCGATTTCCGATAATTACTGCCAGAGTTATGGCCCTTGATCACTTCAAAGAATCTTGTGGATGTTCTAGAGGCTAAAGTTAATATCCGATTGAGTTTAAATTTATACACAGTGTTTGAGGTCATGAGACGAAGATTCCTATTGATTTTCAACGATTCCCGATAATTACTGCCAAAGTTATGGCCCTTGATCACTTTGCAAAATCTTGTGATGCTCTCTAAAGGCTAAAGTTATAATCCGATTGACTTCAGATTGATACACAGAGTTTAAGATCTTGAGACGAACAAGTATATTGATTTTCAATTAATTATTATGACTTAAACAGTTAAATCCATGATATTAAAAGCTTTGCATACAAAACGTTAGCATGGGGCAGTACTTTATAAAAACCAAACAAATTCTAATAGTTTTCTGATAATTACTTCGTGAGTTGTTGCTCTTAATCAGATTTTAGTGTATTATAAATGTTTCATTACCGAAAAAAGTAAAAATATGCGACAACCCTTGTTGACTGCCCGGACGATTTAGTTGCTGTGGGCGTATGTTTCGTTGCCTGGCAACCTATCTTACAATTCTACGTTCTTTAAATTTGTATAATTGCCGTAAATAGGTCACCCAGACTAATTTATGACACTCCAATGTTAAAGGTTTGGATGTCGTAATTCGTCAGACAAGTCAAATAAAACGTGTTTTAATTATCAATATCTACCTGTTGTCATAATTGGTTGTTTTGCAAATATAACACAAACACCGTTTTAAGAATCGTTTTAATTTTTAATCTCAAAGAAATACAGTAATATTTGAAAAAAAAACACCAAAAACTGAGAAATAGAGTGGGGTGGGGCAATGTTATGCTCGGTCGGTTGGTGTCAAAAAGTTTTTAGATCCCTGGCAGAGTCTCTGTATCATTGATGAAATTTAAGTGAATTTGGTAAAAATTTGAATATATAAATGGAAATTTGATTTGCACTGAAGCAAATACAAAAGGCAGCTTATGCTCTGAAAATACACCCAAGAAGAGTTCAATTTTCATAAAAGACCACGCCCCCCTCCAAAAATTTTTTTATGCCACTCAGCAAATCCTTCCTACATCCCTGCTGCAGGACAGTGAAATTTACTTTTATTTAACCATAAAACCCTGTGGTTAGTTGCCGCCTTGGTGAGTTTAGAAGTTGCGTTATTGCTAGCTCTAAATACGCAGAAAATATTTGAGACCGGTTGGGCTGACCTTAAAAATATCTTTGTTTCACCAAACCCGACCCACAATCGAGGACAAGGGTCGGTAGGTCGTTTTTTTTTTCAGATTTTTTTTTTTAAAGTTAGAGAAATCAATACAGAAAACTTATTAGCTGTATACTACAGATTCATTAATTTTGTTTAATGAATTTGGGGTCTGACATAAAAAGTAACGAACTGAAAGTCTTTTTATTAAACTTAAGAGCTAATTTGACAGCTTAATATAGAGCGAAGCTCTAAAGCACCGCGCTTTGCGCGGTCCTTGAGCAAAGCTCTTTTCCGGTAACACAGGAGCGTAATTGAAAATGTCACCCACAGACTTTTGATTAAAAAAAAATTCAGCCGGAACCGGATACACTGGGCAAAACAGGCAATGCGCATGTCAACTTACCAAATCTCGTCCAAGCGAGATCACGTAACTAACAAAAATAATTCTATCCACCAAATCTCGCCCAAGCGAGATTACGCGCCTCATAGAACTATTTCTATGACGCGTCTAATCAATGACGTCACATATTTTTTACGTCAATGAAAATAATTCTCACACTTTTTTGTTCTTTTTTTAAAAACAAAATTAATGTATAAAATTTAGATCTCAATAAAAACTAAATTATTTAATATTTTTTGTATCACTTGAGAAAATTAATTATGAATGAAGGTTTTATATTTGACAATAATCAGCTTCGCTCTACTCAGGCAATGCCTGTTACATATTAATTTTCCGGGTGGAAACATTCGTCTTCTTTATTCAATTGGCAAAAAAATCAATGACATTGCACACGATTTGCCACAAACTTGAAGTGTGAAACTCCTTCAACATGTTTTTAAAGATAGTGCGGGTTGTGCCTTCATTTTTCTCGAAAACGGATATTGAAAATATCGTCGTTATGTTTAAAACTACGCACCACAGACATAGAAGCAGAATCATTTCATGGGAATGGACGTGTATTCGTCTGCAACCATTTTGTTGAGAAGCGACACCTATGACGCTTTCATCTTGATCAACCAGTTTCAATAATGAATCAAACCATAGCCATAGTAAAGGGAAATAACTCTCGTGATATATTTCAGGTTGACACACAAAATAAAATAAAAAGATCGTGGAAAAGTGCAATAAAATAATTTAAGTCGGGGGTGGTTTTAGTTAGTCGGTCGCGTTAGGCGAAACAAAGATATTTTTAAGGTCAGCCTTGGTTAACCAATTAAAATACACCCAAGAAGAGTTCAATTTTCATAAAAGACCACGCCCCCCTCCAAAAAATTTTTTATGCCACTCAGCAAATCCTTCCTACATCCCTGCTGCAGGACAGTGAAATTTACTTTTATTTAACCATAAAACCCTATGGTTAGTTGCCGCCTTGGTGAGTTCAGAAGTTGCGTTATTGCTAGCTCTAAATACGCAGAAAATATTTGAGACCGGTTAGTTAACCGATTAAAATTTATTTTCAGTAGTCTTGATTAACCAGATGTGTATGATTAAATTAAAATTACGGTGTCGGTCACAGCTCTCGAATTCTAATCTGTTTAGGGTGTGTCGTGTGCTCTGTTTTGGATGTGTATTTTCTAATATTTTTCTGTGATAGTTATTTGAAACATAATAGGATTATTATAAAGGATATTTAACATGTACATGTACAATATGAGTACGGTAAGTACTTTCTGCATATTGGTTTTAACTATGGTCTAGTTCATGTAAACGTTTTAAAAAAATCAACCGAAATGTAACTGATAAATACACAAAATATTTTTTTTACTTTAAGCAGTTTGACTTGTTAATTCAACATGCAAGCTGTTTATCGTATTCAAGCAATAGACGTCAAAAATCCTAATAATTGATAAAACCGTTCGTTTGGTGCATGGTACATGTACTATTTAAGGAATGAAGTTTGTGCCCAATATAATAAAATAATGACCACCTGATGAATAACAAATGTGTTTAAAAGGTGCACTGGTGTAAGGAATAATTTATTGGCAGACATTCTGCATGCCTCAACCTTCAAGTCTGTACCGATTCAAAAAAACTGAATAATCACTCATATCCACATTCCTAAAAACATAAAAGTTTTACTGTAAAACAGTAATCACAATTCCTCATTACTTATTGGTACCTGTATTACATGTACATGTATTACATGTACATGTATTTGTGTGTGTGGGGAGGGGAGGGGAGGGGGGTCCTATTCATCATAAGCCGTTCTTAATTTAGCCATTACAATGATACCTACTTTGTGTGAAAACCCAGCCAGATACTAACAACTTGGTGAAATCACGACTTTGTAGATAGTCATATATAATGGTGGCATACATTTTTTTTTTTTAGACACTATCTATGATGAAGATGAAGTTTTATTAGCCCTGGCAGAGCAACTTGGAAATTTCACACCTTTAGTTGGCGGACCCGAAAGTGTTCATTGTCTTTTGGTATGTTGAAATAATCAAAATAAATGAATTTTTATACGCCCACATTGAAATGTGGTTGCATATTGTTGTCGCCTCCATCCGTCCGGCGTCCACAATTGCTTGTGGACACTCTAGAGGCTCAAGTTAATATCCAATTGACTTTAAATTTATACACAGTGTTTAAGGTCATGAGACGAAGAAGCCTAATGATTTTCAGCGATTTCCGATAATTACTGCCAGAGTTATGGCCCTTGATCACTTCAAAAAATCTTGTGGACGCTCTAGAGGTCAAAGTTAATATCTGATTGACTTTAAATTTATACACAGTGTTTAAGGTCATGAGACGAAGAAGCATATTGATTTTCAGCGATTTCCGATAAATACTGCCTGAGTTATGGCCCTTGATCACTTCAAAAAATCTTGTGGGTGCTCTAGAGGCTAATGTTAATATCCGATTGACCTTAAATTTATACACAGTGTTTACGGTCATGAGATGAAGAAGCCTATTGATTTTCAGCAATTTCTGATAATTACTGCCAGAGTTAGGGCCCTTGATTACTTGGAAATATCTTTTGGATATGCATAAAATGTTCTTAGAAGGTTTTGTTTCATGATGATCAGACAATTTAAAGTATTATAATCAATCCATTCGAATCGGCATAAAATGAAAAAAATCATAATTTACAGTTCAAATTTAATGAAAATAAAAAAAATGAAGGAGCAAAATATCAGTGATTTCTTAGTGTTCTTTTATACGCCCACATTTTCATGTTTACGTATTATGCCTTCGCCCCTGTTTGTCCGTCCACAATTTGTTTGTGGACACGCTATAGGTCGCAATTTTTATCTGATTTCAACGAAACTTGAATATAGGTTTATCTCCCTTAAATCTCGGTTCCTTTTGATATCGGACCGTATGGCTCCTGAATGTACGAAAAATCACGTTTTTGGCTTGTGGTCCCTCCAGAGGTCACAATTTTTATCCGATTTAAAAAAAAGTTTTAGTATATCACCGTTACACCGTAATGAAGGTTGAGTTCGAATTTTGTGAAAATTGGACCAAAACTGCCAGACAAAATAGCCGCCACTTGTACGCGAATAGTGTAAAATATGGTATATCAATGTTGTTGACCCTGTAGAGGTCACAATTTTAATCCTATTTTGATGAAACTTGAAATGCATGTTTGTAACCCAAAGATCTTGAATCCTTTCAATATTTGTGCATATTGAATCGTTACTTCCTGAATTATGGCCCCTGATTGTAAGAAAAATCGCCTTTTTATACGCCCGCATTTTCATAATTTTTATCCGATTTAAAAAACCGTATTATTATATCACCGTTATAATAAATCGGCCCAAAATTGACAGACAAAATGGCCGCCGTTCGTTCTTGAATAGCATAAGAATATGTTATATCAAGGTTGTGGACCCTATAGAGGTAACAATTTTTATCCGATTTTGTTGAAACTTGAAATGTAAGTTTATAACCCAAAGATCTTGGTTCCTTTCGATATTCGCACATATCGGACCGTAACTTCCTGAATTATGGCCCCTGATTGTACGAAAAATTGCGTTTTTAGCTTGTGGATCCTATGGAGGTCATAATTTTTATCCGATTTAAAAAACCGTATTATTATATCACCGTTACACCCTGAGGACGACTGAGTTCGAATTTCATGAAAATCGGCCCAAAATTGACAGACAAAATGGCTGCCGTTCGTTCAGTTCCTTTCGATATATATGCGCATATCGAATTGTAATTTCCTGAATTATGGCCCTTGATTGTAGGAAAAATCACTTTCTTGTTAGCTTGTTCTCTATCCATCTCTTGAAAATGTGGGCGTATCCTGCCTGGCAGCCGCTGGTTAGCTTGTGGACTCTATAGTGGTCATAATTTTGATGAAACTTGAAATCTTGGTTCGTTTCGATATTCGCACATATCAGATAGTAACTTCCTGAATTATGGCACCTGATTGTACGAAAAATCACGTTTTTAGCTTGAGGTCCCTCTAGATGTCACATTTATTATCCGATTTAAAAAGAACATGTGAATATATCACCATTGGTTTCTTTTGATGATCGCGTATATCCGAAGTAACTTCCTGGATTATGGCTCCTGATTGTTCGAAAAATCGCATTTTTAGTTTGCAGAGTCTCTAGAGGTCACAATTTTTTTTTTCTGATTTTAAAAACCGTTTAAATATTTCACCATTCCACCATAATGAAGGTTGAATTCGAATTTCGGGGAAATTGAAATGAAACTGCCGGACAAAATGGCCGCTCTTTGTACACAAATTGTGTTAAAGTATGCAATACGAAGGTTGTCAACCCTCTAGAGGTCACAATTTTTACCCGATTCTGATGAAACTTAAAATACATGTATATCTTTATACCCCAAAGATCTCAGTCCCTTTTGATATTTGCACATTTTAGACCATAACTTTCTGGATTATTGCCCCTGATTGTACAAAAAATCCCGTTTGTTTTTAGCTTGTTCTCTATCCATCTCTTGCAAAATGTGGGCGTATCCTGCCTGGCAGCCGCTGGTTTAGCTTGTGGTCCCTCTGGAGGTCACAATTGTTATCCGATTTAATTTTACAAGAAACTGACAAAGACGTGCTTTTATTTAATAGAGCTAAATCGCTAATATTTGAGACCTAGAAATTGACACAAATGCGTCGCAACTAGTGTTGAAACTACTATTTGGATATTTGTTAACGGATACAAAATAAGGGTTATCAGAATCATTTTACTATCCGTCTACTATTCGTTACAATATATTCTGACATTCCGTATACTCTATATTTAGCCATTTTTACATCTGATTACTTTGAAATTTTCCCCAATGCAATTGATCACGTACGCAGCCCTGAGCATAAATGTCAACATTATGCGTATTAGTAACTTAACAAAATTATTAATGCAGTGCAACGAAAACAGTAGTCTAAATAAAAAAAATATTCATTCATTTTTTTCTTCGCGGCTCAAACAATTTGCAAAGCGAAAGTACGATTTCATACTAGGCATACACAGACACTCATAAACATTGAAACAAGTAAGAAATTATGAGTATATGAACTTTTGATGTAATTTTGTTCAAGAATTTCACGTCTCCGAATTATCCGAATAGTATTCGGATCACAAATCTCGATCCGATTTTCAACACTAGTTGCAACGCACATAATAATGTAATGTGAATGTATATAATAAACCGATTTACATTCAATCATGTCTGTTTTTATACGCCCACATTGAAATGTGGTCCTATATTGTCGTCGCCCCCGGTCGGCCGTCCGTCCGTCCGTCCGGCGTCCACAATTGCTTATGGATGCTCTAGAGACTAAAGTTAATATCCGATTGACTTTAAATTTATACACAGTGTTTAAGGTCATGAGACGAAGAAGCCTATTGATTTTCAGTGAATTCTGATAATTACTGCCAGAGTTATGGCCCTTGATCACTTAAACAAATCTTGTGGACGCTCTAGAGGTCAAATTTAATATCCGATTGACTTTAAATTTATACACAGTGTTTAAGGTCATGAGATAAAGAATCCTATTGATTTTCAACGATTTCTGATAATTACTGCCAAAGTTATGGCCCTTGATCACTTAAAGAAATCATTTAGGCGCTCTAGAGGTCAAGGTTAATATCCGATTAACTTTAAATTTATACACAGTGTTTAAGGTCATGAGACTAAGAATCCTATTGATTTTCAATGATTTCTGATAATTACTGCCAGAGTTATGGCCCTTGATCACTTTAAAAAAATCTTGTGGACGCTCTAGAGGTCAAAGTTAATATATGATTGACTTTAAATTTATACACAGTGTTTAATGTCATGAAACGAAGAAACTTGTTGATTTTCAGCGATTTCCGATAATTACTGCTAGAGTAATAGCCCTTGATCACTTCAAAAAATCTTGTGAACGCTCTAGAGGCCAAAGTTAATATTCGATTGACTTTAAATGTATACACAGTGTTTAAGGTCATGAGACGAAGAAGCCTATTGATTTTCAGCGATTTCCGATAATTACTGCCAGAGTTATGGCCCTTGATCACTTTGAAAAATCTTGTAGGCTAAAGTTAATATCTGATTGACTTTAAATTTATACACAGTGTTCAAGGTCATGAGACGAGGAAGTCTATTCATTTTCAGCGATTTTCTATAATTTATGCTAGAGTTATAGTCCTTGATCACTTCAAAAAATCTTGTGGACACTCTAGAGGTCAAAGTTAATATCCGATTGACTTTAAATTTATACACAGTGTTTAAGGTCATAAGACGAAGAAGCCTATTGATTTTCAGCGATTTCCAATATTTGCTGCCAGAGTTATGGCCCTTGATCACTTTGAAAAATCTTGTGGACGCTCTAGAGGCCAAAGTTAATATCCGATTGTTACAAATAGCATTGAAATGCATTATGGTACACGATTCGTGTACCAATGGTAAATTGTTTATTTTATCTTAAACATTGGATATCAGAAGCCCATCTTTTTCCGGTAAGATCGCAACATCAATGTTGATTTAAATTGACAAATAATTTGTGTTTTCAATGTCGAAGACTTTGGATGATATTGAGTTAAAGACTTATAGCCCGTTCAGACGCTTATTTTTAAACCAGTTCATAATCGCTGGGGTTTTTAACACAGCATCTTGTTGCATTCACACGTACTATAAGCCAAACTAGTTTAACTATTCTGACCTCTTCGGTCGGAGGTTAGAGTTAATTGCGCATGGGTAGCTTCATATTCTTTATTCGGTTCTCGCACGCTTTAGATAACATTGGCACAGTCTGACCCCGATATTTTCACAGGAATGTAACTTACTGCGTACTGCGCATGCTCAAAGCAGGCTGGAGCTGGGGTTTTTAAGCCAACCCGTTCAGACGGCTAAGATGAACCGGTTTAAAATAAAAAGCCTTCTCGAAGACAGGTCGCGAGCTGGGGTTTTTAAACTGGTTTATTTGCCCCACATGTGCGTTCAGACGCTTAAGTTAAACTGGTTTAACGATCCCCGG